AATTGGATGAAAAATAATATACTGATAATATATCCTTATTACTAAATGGCAGGTCTCTCCCAGGAAGGCAAGTCTGCTGTGCTCCATTTAGCCAGGAACCTGGGCTGGGATATAAGAGGCCTCTGTTCTAGCAGGAAATTCTTATGGTGGTGATGACATTTTCCTTTTGCATACGAAAGGAAAACTTTGGCTCATTTTCACACCTAACACTGCAGTCACAGAGAATACTGGCTAGCATTACGTAAGGGGAGTTTATCCAGAGTGGGAGCTCTGTCGGGGTAAGGGATCTATCATCCTGGCAGGGGACACAGGTGCTAGGGTGGCTCATAGAAACTTGGAGAAAACAACAGCCTATCATCGTAAAGATGTGAAATGTTACAACTGTCACAGCAGAGTGATGAAAGGTACCAACAGTTCCAAGTGTCGTAGTATGTAAGGATGGAACTGACCAGCCAGAGCCCACAGGACAGACCATGTGATAAAGCACAGTAACAGGGTAATGATTACTAAGGACGTCAGTGGAGGCTGTCTTCTGCATGGAGGGCTGACCAAAGAGACGCAGTTATAGAGAGTGGGGCTCTTTGACAGAAACAAGGATAGGACCCCAGAATAACAGAAGCCAGATAGCGCCAGAAGCAAAATGTGCAATTATTGCAACAAAAGGACAAGGTGATGTGTCATCCAGTGGTCCTATCCAAGTATCTTTGAAGACAGTGAATAGAACTTAATGTTCTGGAGGCAAGATGAGGGTGGTCTATGAGGGTAACAGCTTAAAACAGCGATAAACCAGGAATGGATGGGTTAGGAGACTTCAGTAGCTGCCTGTGCTGGGGAATCTCAATTAAGAAATGGCCTCCAGCTGGGTGTGGTGGTGCATGCCTGCAATCCTAGCACTTAGGAGGCAGAGGCAGGTGGATTCAGGTGAGTTGAAGGCCAGCCTGGTCTACAGAGCAAGTTCTGGTAACACAGAGAAATCCTGTCACCAAACCCTCCCCCCCCCAAAAAAAAAGAAGAAAAGAAAAAAGAGTCTCCATCAGGTTGGCCTGTGGGCATGTCTGTGGGAGCATTTTCTTAATTACTGATTAAGAAGTAGCCCGCCCACTGTGGGTGGTGCCATCCCTAAGCAGGTGGGTCTGGGCTATCGAAGAAAAGGATTTTAACAAGCTGGAGGAAGCAAACCAGTAGGTCTGTGGCTTCTGCTGCAATTCCTGAATCTGGGTCCTGCCTTGGGTTTCCTCGATGATGGACTGTAACCTGTGAGTCAAATCAACCATTTCCTCCCCAAGGTGCTTTTGCTCGGTGTTCTATCACAGAAATGGAAACCACACTAGATACTGCTGCAATCACTAGCTCAGTTTCCAGAGAGGCATGACTCTCAGACCTCAATCCCACAGTCTCAGGAGAGAGTCAGAAACGCACTTAGTGGTGTTTTCTCATCACCAGAACGTTGTTCTATCCCTTTACCAGGTAAAAGAGCTTTACAGCAGGAAGCTCTGACATGCCACTCAGAACACCCTATGGTATTGATGGGATTTGTTGGGGAAAGGAGGCCAGGAAGTTACTAGGAATCATTAAAGGAGAATCACAGCATAGACTTCTAGGGTGCTGGAGCAAGATTCACACCACCCATAGACACAACATTCCAAAAGTTCTTGTAGACTACTATGGCCTGACTTAGATGGATCATCTGACCATGGGACATCATGCAGCTGTGTAGCCAGAGGTCTGGTTATACACAAGTCATAAACCAGGGTGGGCGTAGAAGTAATCAGTCATTAAAAGGAAGTAGCAGAAATGGGGTTAGGCATGAGCATGGAGGGAAGACACCAGTTCAGGGACTACACCCAAATGTCATCCACCGCCATTGTACTGATCTTCACAACTATGGCTGCATGGGGTTGCCCTTTGAGCAGACTGATGGGTGAGGGGACAGCGACCTATTTTTTCACAGACGGCTTAGTCAAGAGTGCAAGCTAAGGGTGGGTGCTGTTGTGCCATGTGTCATTGAGATGACCTTGAAAGGGGTGATGAAGGGAAATCCTTATAATGGGAAAAGTTCCTGATGATCCCCTGGTTACCCACTTTGCATGGGAAGAAGCATGGCTCAGGGTAAGATGCATGGTGGTAGTTTATTCAGGGACACAGGAGAAACCCTAGTATGAATATGAAGGTTGAACTTCCCCATTTCATGTCAACTATCCTCAAAGCAGCTGCTACCAAAATGACACTGAAAGAGACATTCACCACTGAGCTGTGCATGTAAGTCAGCTCAGGGCAATGTAGTGCTGGCACAAGGGTCCAGGGATAGGTCAAGTGTGCGGGGACAATGGTTAGGTCGAGATTCAGTTGTGTGGTCTTTCAGTCACCAAGGCTCTTCCAGCTACTGCTACCATCTGATGCCCATGTAACAGTGCCTTGGATCACAGTCCATTAGTTCTATTCAGTTTGGAGATTCCAGCCTAGAGATGACACTTCATAGACTGAGATGTCCCCCTAAACCAATGAACATTTTATGGGTGCTATATCCAAAATATATGGAAACATAGGCCTGAGGGAAGTAGGCATGGCCCTGCTTCATGTCATTCTCAGTGGTACATTTGGGCAATTGTGCTTCCGGTCACCCAAACCTTACATTCTATGGGTCAGGAAACCTTGTTTCCCAGAGGGTTGATATGTCATTAAAGGATCCAGGATCTGATTATACTTTATAGTGCAGCTGCCGCTCAGTGCAGTACTCAATACTGTAGCAGTAGTGATTGTTGAACCTGGTCTCCGGAGGAGGTGAGGCTGCATTACAGAAGGCGGGAAGGGAAGAATATTTGACACATGATAGTTGCATACACTAGGTTATGCACCAGCACTGGATGGACTAGGGTGTGGAGAAGGGAGAGGAACTTACTCCACACTGGAGATCCACTGCGGCCTCAGCCGCTGTACTTTCCCCACAAATACGCCCAGCTTCCTCAGGAGTAAAGGCCAGCAATGATCCTGCACTTGCGTCTCAAGTGGAGAATCTAAGAGTCATGCTTTTTTATTTTAATTTTCCTTTTCCATTTTTCTGAGATAGGGTCTTGCTTGAAGCCTAAACTGGCTTTGAACTTGAGATCCTCCTGCCTCAGCCTCCATAGTGTTGTGATTACAGATGTGTGCTACTACATATGGCTAGTCATGTTTTATGTCCTAACCCCAGAAATCAACTGAGTTAAATCTACTCACAGCCAGAATGAATCTTAATAGTTTGTCAAATTTTAAGATTAACACCTTCATTTGACTAAAAGTAATTTAAGAGCATTGAGGCAACTGGGTCACATTGGAATCCAGCCAGATCAAATTAATCCAAGTTCTTCGGATTTCCTGAGAATTTTAGAATTTACATGGTGAGCACAGAGGCGATCCGTGTGTCTCTGGAGTAGGCTTTGGAATTGTGAGTGGCAGAAAGTATTTTTTTTTATACGAAGTCTTGTGTGTCAAGGGCACGTGTGGGCTTACATGCCATAGCAGGGGTATAAAGGCCAGAAGACAGCTTTGTGGAGCCAGCTCTCTCCTAACAACTTTACATGGGTTCTGGGATCACACCTGTGGGGCTTACACCCAGCAAACACTTTTTTTCCCTGCTGAGCTATCTCACTGGCCGGCCCACCATCAACTTCTCAAAAAACAACTCCATAATCAAACCATATCCTCTGAATTATAGCATGGAAAGAAATAACACCAGGCCAGGCTTCCTCGTGGAGTCAGCTCAGTTCTCATTCCCTGAATAGTTGACATCTTACCTTCCGTACCAATGACTGCCTCACACCAGGCAAAATCCTCAGGTTTCTCGTACAAGGGAAGAGGTTTTGGAACCCAGTGCTCATATGCAGTTATTCTGAGGCAGCCTTAGATTGTTGCTTATTCTAGACCCACATCTAGGTTTACTCACAAGGGCAAGCAAGGAGCCATACTTGGTCGTCTTTGTGTCCAGCCTGGTGCTAGGAAGTGATCAAGAAGAGATTATGGAATGAATGAGCCTGCCGAGTCCCATGGACCATCCTGGCCGTTGGTGATCCTTAAAAGAACTCCACTCTGGCTGTGTCTTCTTTTTTTCAGGGCTGTTGATGAAACCGAGTCTACAGCATGATAGTCAAATGTCTTGTCCCTGAACTACATCCCTGGCCCAGGTGAGGACGCTATGAAAGGACAGCTTGCCCAAGCAGGAACAGGCTCTTTTCAAGTTCTGCTACGGCAAGACTGCTGCACTAGCTAGCTGTGTACGTCCCACGGAATCCGTTGAGATTAGCAGTGCCTGAAGCAATTCTTAGGATTTTAAAATAGCAAAAACAAACAAACAACAAAAACCACTACGTAGAAGGAATGACCCCCCCCACACACACACCACACACACACACTGTAAGGAGACCTTCAGCATGAATCCCACAGCTGCTGCTTGAATATTTACTGTGTGAATTTACCAATCAGAGTCTCCGGGGAATTTTAGAAGTGACTCCTGAAACAGTGATAACTGAGTCTTTCAGAGTGGCTCTGAGGCACTAGGAACTAAGCACACAGTACTTGTTTTATAGGACAGTAGCTTGGTTGTTCCCTGCTAGTAGGAACTAAGCACACAGTACTTGTTTTATAGGGCAGTGGCTTGGTTGCTCCGTGCTGGTATCACATTTGTAAATGTGTAGTTTCACTCAGGTTCTCTCCTGCTGGATTCTGCTGTCCACAAACACTGCTGTTTGCAGTCGTAGATGAATCCGGGTTGGGCTGTGGAAGAATTTTGGTGTTGCCCAGGGAAGTAGTTGAGGAAGGGGAAGGAGCCCAGAGTCCTGAGCTAGTCCTGAGACAATGAAAGACTCAGAAGAGGGCTCTAAGTGGCCATACCCATTTCTAAAGCAACCATGTACTCTCTTCTTGGTCTCTTCCATGCTTAGGGAAGTTTCCTACAGTTCTTGCTCTGACCACTTGAACTTCTAAGTTTTGTGTCTTTTGCCAGTTAAGGATCCGTAACAGTGTCACAGGGGTTTTGTTTCAAGTTATCCCTGTGGATTTATTAGCTTTTGTACCGAGCCCAAGGAAGGAAGTCAAATGGCGGCTCAATCCTTGCATCTTTTTTTTCTTCTTCTTCCCTTTTTCAAATTACTCCTTTGCAACAATGTCCATGCTACATTCTACTTCTCTGGTTTAATCCATCTGTACCAACGAGTTCACTGGAGGCCTTTGGGAAGAAAAGACTAAGTTAGGCAAAAGAAGGAAAATTATGACAGACCTAGGCAAGGGGGGCGGGGAGGCATTTGGATCATTTATATGCTGCATGTTTTACTGACAGTTAAATACAGTGTTTTGTTCTGTTTTCCGCCACTCGAGGCTTATTTAATTAAATTCATGGCCGAGGATGCTAACCAGCCCCACATCTAAAATAATTGCTTCTCTGTTGGTGAGAGGGAAGGCCAGGATTGATTTTCCCCTGGCTGATAGCTCTCCTTTCTGACTCATGAATGTCATCTCCACTCTCCTCCCCACGTCATTTGATCTCTGTATTTGATCCCTATTTAGTAGTACACTTCGCTAAACAGATGTCCGAGTAATTAAAATCCCACATGGGCACACTAGTCAGTGAGTTACATCTATGTAATAGTCAGCTTAGAAACTTCTCACCCTGGGCTCCCCCCCGCGCCCCCATCCTGGTGTTTGTTGTGTGTCACTGGCCTTGATCGGGCTTAAACATTAGAGCTCAAGCTGGCTGTGTAGGTTTTCCTGCATGTGTTCATTTTCCTTTTCTCCCCACCCCCGACACCATTTTCCCCACAAGTTCCAGGCCTTTCTTTCAACTCACCTGGATTTCCACCAGCATCCAAATTCTCACTGAATGAATCATCTTGTATTCATTCATGTCAGCTCTAGCAATTAAAAGAAAATCATAAAATGGTTGTTATAACCATGGATTAAAAGTATCTTTTATTTTTTCCCCCTGAGGCATAGCCAAAATATTTCAGACTAAAAAATCTTTAAAAACAAAAAAATAAAAAAACCTATTCATTCAAACACTAGAAACCTGTTTGGTTGCTCTAAGTCACCGAGGGACTTGGATGACAGAGATTAGAGAGGAAAGAGAGTATGTGGAGAGGTGCGGGGGGAGGCTGGGAAGGGACGTGGAATTTGATACTTTGGTAGAGGATTTAGAACTTACAGTTATTTATGTGAGACAATATTTGTAATGGTAACTCTGATAGGGACATACCTTTATGCAAAACTGGACAACATTAAAACATAAAGGAGGTAAACGAATTCCCCTTGCAGCTGACAGATAAGCATCAATTTTAAATTAAAGAAAAAAAACAAAACTAAACACTTTTAACAATTCATCAGTTTTGGTATCTACCAAATTAGCCAGACAAAAATCAGATAAGTGACAATCTTAATGCAAAAGAATCACATTTAGCAAATCATTTTATAAAAGTTTTTTGTCATATGTGTGTTGCTTGTGAGGCTACTTATAGAACATTTCAGAAATTAAAAAAAAAAAGTGTGATTAAGCCGGATGGTGGTGGTGCACACCTTTAATCCCAGCACTCGGGAGGCAGAGCCAGGCAGATCTCTATGAGTTCATGGCCAGCCTGGTCTACAGAGCAAGATCCAGGACAGGCACTAAAACTATACAGAGAAACCCTGTCTTGAAAAACAAAACAACAACAACAAAAAAAAAAAAGTGTGATTAAAAAAGTCAAGCAGCAAGTTCAGAGGCTAACAGATACTGCTTTAGTTCTAAAACTCTAAAAATAGTTACCTAAACTTCACTGCCACGCTTATATTCAGAAAGTAAGCAAAAATCCTTCTGCTTAATCGAAACTTCATTTTGGTGGTTTACATTCAGCTTACACTCTTGTTATCTAAACTAACAAAAGCTCTGTAAATAAGCAGAGATCTAAATTAACAAGCGTCTTAGATAAACAGTTGCACACAATGAACGAGAGTCTTACATAAACAGTGATACCAAACGGGAGCTAGTATTTCAGGAAGGTAGATTCCAAAGCCACAGGAGGGAGCAGCGTGGGTGTGATTTCTGTTCCTGTCTACTACCCAGACTGCTGTGGATCGCCACAGTTCTAAGGCTGGCATGTCTGCATTCTCTCTGTGCTCAGGACGGCCACCACACTACCACCGCGTGCTTCTTCTCGAGTCCTCTTCCCCTTTGTGGAGCTCATGTTTCATCTAAAAAAGTTCAGGACACTTTTTTTTTTTTTCTGAGCCGTTTTCCCTCCATTCATTCCTTATCACATATCTATCCCTGCTCAGCTGTTTCTTTCTGATCATTGAACAAGAATGTATTAGTTCCAGTAACCCATTTCCGCTTCCCACTGCCTTAGTATAAACTAGGAAGGATATTTCTTGATCTCCTCACAAGGTTGTGAGGATCCTAAGAGCCTCCCACAAAGAGCTCAAACCACAGCCTCACCACTTTCCTTTTGAATGGATGATAGCAAGGTACTTTACTTTTCTGTACTTCAGTTCCATAATGTAGAAAATAGAGAAAATGAAACTACCGATATTCTAGGGTTGTTCGGTAATGGTTACATGAGGTAATTCCTGCAGATCACAAGGTCAGAACATGCTTACTTACAACAATCTCTGTTCCCTGTAAATGCCAACACAAATGCAGGTAGCTGCAGGGTTTCCCACTGAAGTCAGGGCGCTTCCTCTAAGTCTCCCATCGCCTCTGGGATGTGTTCTTATTTTGGGACTGCCACAGTTAAGCTATAGCCCCTGAGTGTGGCCTGTGGCAGTTAAGGATGGAAGCAGCAAGATGAGAGGATGCTGGTTGAAAAGCATCCTCTGAGGATTTGAAGGTACCTTTGCCTCTCACCAAACCCAGCTCAGTCCCATGGCTTCATTAATACATTTACTTCAAATGGTTTGTTTGTGTTGATTTTTCACTTTGATATCAATGTGCTTAAAAGGTGTGTGTGTGTGTGTGTGTGTGTGTGTGTGTGTGTGTGTGTGTGTGTGTACATGCAGATACACAAAGAAACCATCCTCTCTAGTCTGGAAAACGAGGGTTGTAAAGAGGTCAGTTGGTTCTCTAGGTACTTGACTTCTCTGTTTTTGTAGGCCAAAGTATTGTGTAAATAAATACAAAAGCATCCTTTCCACTGTCGTGCAAGTCTCCCTGTCATTTACATTATTGTTGTTTTATAGATCTCAGCATAATTTTAAATCCTCCTCTTCCGAAGATTATAGGAAAGTGCCATGTTTCAGGCACACTTTGGAAAAAGAAACTGGAGAAAAAAGCATTTACAACCTAAATGTTACCCCGTAGAAGAGAAATGCAGTGAGAACACACAAAATATACAAACAACAAAACCTGAGCATTCCAAAAGGAATGGGATGAGTCTTTCAAAGAGCTCTCTTCTGAGGTTTTCTCGCACTGACATGCACGTATATTGATGCAGCTGTACAAAGTCCCAGAACACCGTGAAGGACCGATGCTGGCATGCAAATGCCAACTCTTCTACGTGATAGCCACCACAAACAGCTATGCTCCGACTTATTATTTATAACTTTTGTCTTGCACTGCACTTTCAGTTTCCCACTGCTCCCTTTACCCTCTTCACGCCTCCCTCTTTAACCGGGGATGGATTTCAGCATGTATGAAGCATATGTTCAGTCAGATGTCTCCGCAGCCACTGGTCAGGATTCCTAATATTGCTTGTTGATAATCCATGTCCTCCCCATTAGTGATGCTTCATTTACTGACAGATTGAATTCAGAGCTATCTATTCGAAACTATTAATCTATTTGTCAATCTTTTTTTTTGGTAATTCAATATCACTGTAATTATTAAGTCTTTCTAATATGTATTATCATCTGGTGGAGTGACCATCTCTGCTCTTACTCTTCATCTTAGATCTATGCTGGTTACTCTGTTTTTTCCTCCAGACAGAAATTGTTTCAAATCAAACCTGTCCCATTGGAGATTTTTTTTTTAGTTAAAATTACAGATATTTACCCAGTAGCAGATATATCTTGATTCAATCTTTGCCCCGCTTTTCCTTTGGGATATAGATCTCACTCAGTTCTTGCCCACATTATGTGTGTAGGATCATTTAGTTACTTTGAATAGGGTCTTTTCAATAGCTTTATTACCCAACAGGTAATTGGTAGATCACTGAAAAACCTTTTTACATATAACATTCATGTATGTACATATATATGTATACAGTGTATATTTGCATTATATGTGGGTATGCATGTGTCAAGATGCACACACCTGTGTATATACCTACAGAGGTTAGAGGAGGACATCAGGTGTCCCATTCTCTCTACCTTATTTCCTTCCATGGAGTCTTTCACTGGCTGACTAAAATGCTCCCAGGATCTGCCTGTCTCTGCCTCCAGTGCTGGACACGGACACACACACACACACACACACACACACACACACACACACACACACACACACACACACTGGTTTTTCAAGACAAAGTTTCTCTGTGTAGCCCTGGTTGTCCTGGAACTCACTAGGTCATCCAGGCTGGCCTCGAATTGAACTCAGAGATCCGCCTGCCTTTGCCTCCTGAGTGCTGGGATTAAAGACGTGCGCCACCATGGCCCGGCCGGGTTCCCATATTTACACAGCAAACACTTTTACCCATTGAACCATCTCCCAAGCCCGGATTTTCAATATTTTACGGTAGCTTTTCAATTAGGTCTCTAAAGTTTTGTAGGTAAAAGTATTACCTGCAAATAAAAGCATTTTTCCCCCTTTTTACAATAGTCTCCCTATTATTTACATTTTGTCTTTTTGGGTACCTTAACATAACTTTAAATAACAACAGTGATATCAAGCATCTTTGTATTTTATTTTAATGAGAATGGTTCTATGGTTATATGATTAAGTATAGAAATTTTAAAATATGGACAAAAGTAGAGTGAATAATAACATGACATTTGCCTATCACTCACCTTCAACAACCTTCAACATTTTTGCATATACTCTCAAAGGGATACAAACTCCCCCCTTCTGGATACAGGCTTAGAAACACCTATTCATGTCTGCAGCCATACCACCCCGAACACTCCTGATTTGTCTGATCTCGGAAGCTAAGCAGGGACAGGCCTGTTCAGTACTTGGATGGGAGGAATACCTATTCATACAGTGCTCTTCATTTCCATTATGAGGTATTAGTCCTAACTAACAGTCAAAGAAATTCAATGATGGTTTTTCCTAACTAATAAGACATTCCACTGCTATGTGATTGCAGAAAACTAGATAGCAATCTCAGTGGTTCCCAATTAGTGAGTGAAAATTGTGATTCATTCATGTAATTATACTCGACAATTATAAAAAATGCTGACACGAAAAGACAGTCAAGTTTATGAAATTAAAACGCAAGCACAAGACAATATACAGGTGTGATTTTATTTTTTAAGTTTTTCATGGGCTGGGAGATGGCTCAGTTGGTAAAGGGCCATCAGTGTAAGCACGAGAACCTGACTTAGTTTCCAGCACTCACATGAAAGCCAGGGGCGTGCATCTATAACTCCTGCCTGGGGTGGGGTGGGAATGGGGGCTCACTCTTCAGCCAGCCTCACTAACTGGTGAGCTCCAGGTTCAGCAACAGATTGTTGTCTCAAAAAGGGGGGCAGGGAGCTGCTGAAGAATACACACACACACACACACACACACACACACACACACACACACACGCACGCACGCACGCACATGCATGCACATGCACGCACATGCACGCACATGCACGCACACGCACAGGCACACCACACACACCATTTGTTCCAAGGAGAAAAGAACACATGTATGAAAGTTTCTGGAAGGGTTTGCAATAAACTATCAATAGAAGTTATTTCTGGGCAGGAAGAATGAGGTGTGGTGATAGAAGAATCAGCTTCCTTATAAATTATTTTATAAACCATTATTGAAAGATAACATTGGTTAATGATTTTCTTTTTGCTGAATTTTTAAAAATTATCTGTGGGTGGGAAAGAGAGCTCAGTGATTAAAAGTACTTGTTGCTCTTGCACAAGACCCAGGTTCAGTTCCCAGCACTCAGATGGCATGTAACAACCATGTAAGTCCAGTTCTGGAGGAGTCAACACACTCTTCTGGCTTCTGTGGGCACTGCACGTACATGGTACCCATACAAAGAAGATAAAAACAAATATGTTTTTAAAGTAGTTGTTTTAGTCAAGAATAGATATTAGAGTTTTTTCACTTATTAAGACTTTTTCTTTTATGGCCTAATTGTATTAG